TCAGAATCAAGTGTGCCATGAGAAATGGTATATCTTTATTTATTTTGTTCGATTGATTTAAAAACTTATAGCTATTTGTTTATATATTTCTCTAACTTAGAGCTATTTGTTTTTATTTGATTTACAGTGGCATATTTATGCATTGGTCGTTGCAAAGATCCAAAAAGAATAGAAGACCAAAAATTTATCCATTTAAACTTTTTTTTTAAACTTATATCAATATGTTTTAGATTTGTTTCCTGTTGAATTGTTGACACTTTCTATTAAATTTGATTTGATTCTGCACAATCATAATTCTTAATGTTTATTGATTATTAGGTCTGAAAAATCTTACTAAACAAATGTGAAAATTACATATTATTTATTAATTAAATCATATTTAAAAAAATAAATAAAAAATCTAAAAAATCTATAAACGGACCTTATTAAATATGACATACCAAATTATAAAGGTGCCATAGACAGATGTTTTATTAAATGAATCTAAATGGACCGGACCTAAACGGACTGGCCTTAAACGGGCCGGACCTAAACAGGCTGAAGTAGCCCGCTTTAACATCACTAGTTTGTTGGATCGAACCTTGGCAACATGCTTGCTGCTTTTTTTATTTTTAGTAACTGCAACAAGAATAACAAAAACATCCTAATTCTCTCCTTTTATAGGTTAAAAGCCGCAAAGTTTCTTTAATCACTTGTTGGTGACGAAATTGCTTACGATAAAGAGTGAGGGAGGAGCAAAAACTTTGGGATTTGGTGGATAAAGCAAACAAAAGGTGTGGTGTGGCGAAAAGTCGTGCAACGATTGATAAGATCATAAGAAGATTTTGTTTTTTGTTTCCAAGATAGAGAGGATTTAACAAAGGATAAGAACAAAAAAAATATCCAACTTCTGGTGCGTACTACGAGAAGATTTATTAAGCTTTTTATGGGAAAATCATTTTGACACTTGTCGTCGAGTGTGATTTTTTTATTTTTTTTCTTGTCAATACCTGAAAACATCTCTAACCATGGGTTTTTCATAAGTTTCTCCAAAATTATAAATACTACTAAATATTAATAAATATATCAAAGTTTTCTTCCACTGTTAGAGAAACCCAGCTAAAAAAATTTATGTAAATTTTTTTAAATAGATTTCTTCAATATTAGAAAATATCCA